ACTTTATTTATTGTTATTATTAAACTAAAATCTCCAGCATGAGGAAGTGGGATGAGCTCGACTTTTCTCGACAAGTGTTTATATCTCAGTGAGTCACCCTACGCACAATGAACTAAAAATAATTAAAAGTCTTTCTCCTCTTTCTACTGTCATATGAGGTGCCTGCATCACAGGGATCAACAGTCTGCAAGCTTTTAGACAGTAACACATCTACACATTAATTTGAACACACTTAGCTGCTGTCTTTCAGTGCATTGAACTCCAGACTAATGATGTCCAAAGGCTTCCTTTACCTCTTCATGAGCTCTCAGCCTGGCTGCTACAGCTCTGTTTTGCATTGAGTATGGTTGTAGGTAGCATCACATGGCTTTTTAGCTAAGTGTTTGAACCCTCATTTTGATGTCTGGCAATCAATGGAGTCCAGAAACTGAATGTGATGTACTAATGCAAGCAGATGAAAAGCTACGGCATCCACTTATGTTGCATTCAAGTCATACAAGGTTTACCATGATTCTACCAAAGAGTGCGAGTCACGCTGGCTTTTTGGTGCATGAACATCACACTGAGGCTCAGAGAGGTTCACAAAGACAGGAAAGTGTTTCAAAGCTGAAGATACAGAGAGCAGAAATTAAGGAAAACTACTGAAGGTAAACTAGATACAATGCTGAATGTTGAATTGTGCTTGTATTAAATAAGTGTAATGTTAACTCGGTTTACTTCAAAAATGCTTTATCCCAAAGTGAAATTAACTGACATCATCCAAATGTGTTCAGAGTCATTGTGGATGATGATGCTGTGGGCTGGAAGGATCTCCTGCAGCTGTCAACCTTAAAACGGGGAACTTTGCTAATCCACCTCATTTGCTTTTTCCATCCCTATTAAATCTCTGTCTGACTGCATGTTTAGATTTGATTTATCAAACAACAAAAAGATAAGTGGAAAGATGTGTGACAAATTAAGGTAATCTCTGATGTTTCCATGGTAAAGAAGAGGAACACAGCAGCCAGGCACTAGGTTATTGGATGAGCAGAAGGTGTGAAGACCTCCATAAAATGCAGAGCTTTTACAGCTAGGTGCTCCAGAGCAGACAGGCAAGTTAACATGACATCCAGGAAACCTTGGAAGAGCAATTGTTGTTACAAGTAAATCTGCAGAACTTCTTTAGAACAATTTCCAAACATTTTGCAGTTCATTGTTCTGCTGTGATTAAAAAAATATATGCAGCTAGAAAACAGCTCAGTTCAGTCCATTGTAAGACAGCAAAAGAGTGTAGCTTGTCTGATTGGCTTGATATAGTTCCTCTTCTGGCACCCTGAGAATGAGAACTTATCTTTCTTTCTCTGATATTAAAGTTTGCTTGATCATCTGAAATATTTAAATGCTTCAAAAACCCTAAAAATGATGAAAGACGGTGTGGGGGACACTGTGGAAGGCACTGTTTTCTGTTTTATTTTGATGCTGCAGTAGTTATAGCTCATGTTTTTGCAATTTAAAAGTTCCATTACTTTGTATGAGTGTGTGTGACAGTTAAAAGCCCCAGAAATGAGCAATATGAATAGAAAAGTGTTATCTATTTTCAGTCCATTTTCATTTCCATTTCACTCATCTGGTCGACAGGAACTTGTCATGTTTATTGATGCATTGAATCAAATAAATGACAAAACTAGAATGTTTGAATGTTTTGACACATATTTAGATCTTTAGTCTTATTAGACTGTTCATGAAAAAAAAATGTTTTTGCAGAATCATAATTAATGACTGCAATGGTAAGAGACGTGGCAAAAGATATGGATGATTTATTAAGAATTAAATAAAAAAAAGGTCATGGGTCAACATTTCCCGTAATGAAGCCAACATGTGACTTGTTTAGTTTGTTTGTGGACAAACGAGTCACTGTTCAAAAGAGAGACAGAGGGCTTGATGACAAATAGAAATGAATATCCCCCATGAGAAAAAAATCATTAAAAAAGGTCTGCTCATGATTGCACTCAGAGAAAAGGTATTGTCCTACTACACCATTAACACTCAATGTTCAGGCATTTGCGCAATCTCTTTATTTATTTATTTATTTATTTTATTTGGATTTTTTTCTTTAAAATGTATTATTTTTATTTTTGTGACCTTATGTGTGCTGAAAGCACCTTTTAAATAAAATATATAGTTATTATTATTATTATAATTATTATATATGTCAAAAAGAAATATGAAGCAAAGCCGATCTGACAGAGGAAGAGTTGAGGAGATAAAGAAATCCTTGGATTTTATGTCTGATGAGATAACAAAAATCTACAGAATTGAAGAGACAGAATGTAGAGAAAGACAAGCAACTAAGCTCTCCTGGAACATCGTGTGGCTGACTTAGAACAAATTATGTTGTAATTAATGGGTTGGAATCCAAGCCACGATCATATGCCCGGGCCGTGACAGAGGCAAACACTACTGAAGAAAGGGATGAAGATCAATGATCTCTTGAAAAACAGGTAATAACATACTTCAGTAAAAAGGGCATCATCATTGATAATAATGGCATCGAAGCTTGTCATCCTTTTCCACAAAAAAACAAAGGAGTTAAACCGGCCATTCTAATGCGGTTTACAAACAGGAGACATAAAAGTGCACTCCTAAAACAAGGGAGGAAATTAAAAGGATCCAATGTTTATGTAAATTAACATCTTACAAAAATTAATGCAGATATAGCAAGACGAGTACGTTGTCTCAGAAAACAAAAGAACATACAGTCAACACGGACCTCAAACTGCAAGGTTTATATCAAAATAAATGGTTCACCAGAGGAAGCCAAGACAACCAGGCAACTTCTGCTCAGCTTTCTGAAATCCAGTAATAAATTGAAAATATACACATGAATGTAGACACAGATATTGATCCAGACAACAATTTCCTTGATTATTTGAATGACAACTGCCATTACTACACTGATGATAAGTATTTCCAAAGCTTTAATTCCGATCAAGAAATGTCAATTATTCACTTCAACAGCCTTAGCCTTTAAACTAACTATGAAAATATCTAAGAGTATTTATATCAACTAAAAAAGTCCTTCAGTGTCATAGCAATATCTAAAATGTGGCTCATCTCTGAGAAGGGAGCAGGCTTCCCACTGAGGGGTATGAGTTCAATTATATAAACAGAAAGAATAAAAAAGGGGGAGGTGTAGCTTTGTACATTAATAATGAACTAAAATACAAGGTGGTAGAAAATATGTCAGTGTCAGTTGATTTAATGGAATGCATTACTATTGAAATCCAGTCTGAGAAGCAGAAAAATATCATAGTCAGCTGTGTGTACAGAGCAGCAGCATCTGACACTGAAGTCTTTACAAATTACATGGAAACATTGTTTGCTAAGATTTATCAAAACATCATTTTCATCTGTGGAGACTTTAATATCGACATGTTGAATCCAAATAAGGTTAAAAGTACAGCTAACTTTATTGATAGTATGTACAGTTTAGGTTGATATCCACTAATTACTAAACCAAGTAGAATAACAACACACAGTTCAACCGTGATTGACAATATATTTACTAATTACATGGAAAATAAACTGAGAAGTGGACTTCTTATAACTTATATAAGTGACTATCTGCTAGTGTTTGTTATCCTAGGAGAGGTTTTCAGAAAAGTACATGAGGTCACCAATATCACACTGTAAAAAAAAAAAATGGCCTCAATTTACGGTAATAAACTGGCAGCTGTGGTAGCCAGAATTTTACCGTCTTTATACGGTAAAATTCTGGCAACCAAAACTGACAGTTTTTTACCATGTTTTCAGTATACGGTAAAATACTGGCAACCAAAACTGCCAGTATTTTACCGTATTTCCCAATATACGGTACAATACCGTATTTCCTAAAATATGGTAAAATAAAAACTTAAAATGTGGTTTTGCCGTAGTAAATACGGTCATACTGCCTGAGGCATAATATCTACATAAGTGAAAAACATGGCCAGACTGTATGATATATATTGACATTTTATTGTAAGAAATCCGAAAGACTTTATGGTAAATTACTGGTTGCTGTTCTTACCAGAATTTTACCATAAAAATTACAGTACAACACATAAGGAAGTGTAACTTGTCAGCATTTCTATACAGAAAGTTATAAAGAAAATGAATTCAAATTAAACAAAAATACAGATTACGAGTAATCCACTTAAAGAAAGAATTTCTATTTAAAAATTCAGTTAAAAAAAAGAACCGATTCTATTTTCTGTCCAGTTTCCTCACAGTATTACTGAGATCTGGAAAACAAAACAAACAACAAAAGCAGTATGTGTCCACATAAGAGATAACCTATTGTAGAAGAAAAATCGGTGATAAAATGATTCTTGTTCTGGGTTGAGAGTAACAAGAAGTCACTGAATTCAGAGTTGACTCAGGATGGTTGTAGTCTTCCCAGTCACAGGTTGAAATTGTGACTCACATGTTGTCAATCAGGTGTCCTCTCTGCTGGAAAACAAACAAAGCAAAAGTTGAAAGATGCACTACATGAACATCATATAAATGCACCATTTGCTTAAATGTTTGTTTCATCTTTGTTGACTTGAATTTAGAGACTGGTACTTCAACCAGGCAGTGTGATCATTTCTGACTGAAAATTCAGTAGTTCTTAAACTTTTTGTTTGTTGTCAACAGGTGTGATCCTCTCTGCCTTTTGGGAGAAACATTGTTCTCTTTACAATTTTTTACTTTTTGATCAGTAATTCAGGATAGATGACACAAGAACAACAACTCAATGCATAAAGTCAAAGAGAAAAAATCCCCAAAAATTCAAAAACAAAGGGCTGATAAATTAAAGTGAACATCCCTTATTTGGTGTGTATATCACCATAAACTGTTTAGATTTGAGCTTTATATCTTGTTATAATTCCATATTCATGAGGAGTCATTTCCTCATGAAAACATGTTTGCGACAACCTCGGATCTCCATGGCAACCATTTGGTAGTGCTTCAATGCTTCCTCATGCAATGCGCCACCCGTTTATACAAAGCTCCGTCTTGGAGCAGCAATCCTTTTCTTCTTTTCTCAAATGTATGTTCTGTTGGGAATGGAAATCCCGATCGATGAATCATAATTTGTATTGACACACGGAGCATAAAATCAGCCAAGAAAAGCATTCAGACTTTACTTATTTTATTAACTTTCAGCGCTGAAAGGAGACGCTTTACCATTACATCCAAGAAGAGTTTCTAAAAAGTCTGTGCAGCGTCTGAGGAGAAGGAGGAGGGCAACTGATTATATGAACTGAAGACACTCCCTGAAATCACACCATGTCTCTGTGGCCTGAGAAAATGTTTCTTTTTTGTGAGAAATGGACCTTGGTGTCTAACAGAATCAAAAATGTATCTCTTTACTATGGGCCCTTTGTCTAACAGCATGTGACTCTTTCTCGACCTGGTAAAGCGTCTCAACAGTTCCCAAACAGAGTGAACCCTTGTAACATGTTAAACAATCTTACGTCCAACTTTCAATACACAAATTGACTTTAAAAGTAAAATATAATAGGCAAAATTAGGCAATTTATGAAATAGATACTCACGATTTATCTGAGTCTCATGAAGACCAATAAGTTGTCTTCAATCATCTATGTAAGTTACAATTCCTGCAAGCTAGCAGAAACAAAGCTGTAAATGTGTACACTTTTCATAAAGGCAAACAAATATATACACCTGAGACAATTTATGCTATGTTAGTTTTTCTCAGTCACTTTTGGTGCATTTCTCAAGACATTGTTGGTATTTACAAAACAGTAAGCGCATTTCTCAAAACAATTTGTAGAAACAGCAAAAATAGCATTTGTTTGCTTGAAAAATCCTTAGTTCAGCTCTTAAAATTCTGTCTGTTAACATATCAGTGACTCAAAATAATAAGTTATAGTTTCTCTATGTACAGATAAGACAGTCAAATTGATTAGTCATGGGAAGAGGCTACAAAATTCACATTTACGCTTTTGCTGTAATTTATTGATGGACCATGCCATGGTGATTCAGAAAGAAAAAGACAGAAATGCAGAGAACAAAAAAAAGTAGAAAAGGAACCACAGGACAATCTCCTCATGGAAAACTGTACAGTGCTGTAGAAATTACATAATTACATTACATTTTAATTGCCATCGTCATGCTGACAAAGGTTCCTCAGTGGGGTTAAGGAATGAACAGTCGGGTGGGAGGACCTCCATCAGCATCATGTTGTGGGTCGCAGCCATGTCCTGATGTTGGACTGATGGAAACTGGCAGATGTCCTCAGCCTCTTCTGACTCTTCTTCTGCTTCCCTCCCAACTATTTCCTCCTCAGCCTCACTCCTCTTCTTCTCTCTGGCTGTTCACTTGGTCCAGATACTTGTTCATCAGTTCTCAGAAATGTAACATTGTGTTGTGTTCTGGCTATGTACACCATATTGTTGCCAACTGATGGTTCACAGATGCACCTTCAATCTGTTTTCAGAAAACTGGTTGATCGTTGGTTGAGCTAATGGTTCATACATTGACCTGTTAGAGAAACTCAGGACTCACTTGGGAGCAATTTACCAATTCAGGACAGATTTAGAAAAGAATCAATTATAAATTAATTAAAATATGATTGACATTATGACAACTTTAAGACTTATGCATGTTAAGACTTACACAATGAACTTATGCTGTTTTGGAAGTTGAGAATTCAACACAGACACGTTTAACATATTTTGATCAACACGATTAAAGCAAATTGCAACGGGGGAAAAGCAGAGAAGTGCACATAATCAGTTACATGATGTAAGCAAAACTTGCAAAAAGAATGAGAAACTCATTTTTTGATGTGCAGAAGTGACAGTAATTTGAAGATTGAACAGGTAGTTTTAAGAATGTCAATTCTGTTCTGTGAAATACGAAGCTGAAGTTGGTTTCCAATTCGAGCTTCCAATATCTAAAAGGCGATTCCACTTAATTTTTCACTACTTTCAGCTACTTTCCATATCTTTCATCAACTCTAGTTTAAAAATTACCACACCTAGACACTTCAAACCTGGACTACATTATTCTTCTCTAATAGCAGAATATTT